CTTTGGAGACTASTTAGCTCTAAGACTTACTTTGGGTGCCCTTTTGCTGTGATGCTCAGATTTTATGCAGAGCGGGCTGTATCCTTCATTCAGGACTGCATGCTTTGGGGGTTTGTTGTGATGTCTAAAGTTGGGCTTTCCACRCTGAAGTCCCCTCAAAAAAATGCTGTAGAGCTCGGTGATATAAGTATAACCTGTCAGCAAAAGGAGCACTCCTGTCACTTTTTTTCTTCTCATGTACAAGCAATTGGAGCAGACTGTTCTAAAAGCATCAGTGAGGTTACAATGTCTTACCCTGCTGTTTGTGACTTCCACTTTCCCTTACAAGTTGTGCTCCCAGATGTCCATCCAGATGTACTGCCCAGGACTGGCAGGAAGGAAAACAAAGCCAAGACTGCCTGCATGAGGCTCTGATGATGCTGTGAGGACTTTGATCCTTCAGAAAAATTAAGCAAAATCACTTTCAGACCAGGAAATCTGAAGYTGCCTACTGTTATTCCTTTGCCTTTCATAGTTTAGTACCATTATTATGACTCCACTATTCTTAGTTTGTGTCCTTCTTGCTTTCTACTACTTCACCTGCTTTTTGTGCATGGTTTCCTTAATTTTAATGCTTCAATTCTTTGTGAAAGGTATCCAAATCAGGACAACGAATGAAGAACCCCCCAAAATGTACTTGACCGTCAAGAAGAAGAGTAGCCACTACTTTCACTTGGTAGTATGAATGATAAACTCTTTTTAACTAGAATTTTCAAGTCTGGTGTCATCAGAGGAAGCCATTGATTGATTCAACAGCCAGGTCCATTAGAATGAGGCTAGTTCATTTCTCTGCTTCGTGTTTGAGTTGGAACTTAATAAATTTGAAATACGATATCTTTCTCCATTAGAAAAAAAATCCTACCTTTTATTTTCTTCCAAATATGAAGAAAATCTGAATGAAATTAACTGGAAAGTAAAGGGTATCATGCATAAGTACAGTGAACAGCAGCACAGGAAGTAATTAGCTAAAATCCCTGAAAATATAGCTATTTTGCTAAAGGGTAAGAAAGCAAGTGGTTTTTATTTGATTAGTATGAAGGCCTCTCCTTTTGGGTTAGTTGGTTTGTTTGAATTTAAAACAAAAATAAACTATGAAACGCCTCCTGGACATACTGGAAAATAAACTAGTGCATAATTCATTAGCTTAGTCCCATGCTAGGACTGTTATTACAAGTAAAACAATTGCATGCCTCCAGCATTTCATCATATTGATGAAATAGATGGACTTAAACATTTTACTCTATAATGGCTTTACAGATTGAGACATTCTTTCTCAGACAATAAGGAGGAAAAGTATTAGACTCAAAGGGCCTCTAATGAGAATTTCCTACTTCCAGTTTGAGGCTGGATGAGAAAAAGAGAAGAAGAAATCTCTTCCAAGCTCTTGATCTGCTTTTAATTTGTTTTTTAAATTACACATTTAAACTTGTGCCTTAATTATTATTGGGCGCAACAGAAGGAAGGCTAACTCAGTGTCTTAAATCCACTTGCTTCCAGGCAAGAAGACAGAATTTCTTTTTGAGTTCAATGGAAGCAGTTACTACAAATAAAAATTTTGCTTACTGAGGGTCTGTTATAACAGAAGACCATTTTAATTATCAATTATTTAATTAAGTCCATGTTTCCCATAGGAAAACTGTTTTAACTAATTTGTTAGAAAATAAGAGAAGTTCATCTCACTCAGGTATTACTTATTGTGTAGATTTCTCTCACTCTAAATGGAGAATTTTTCACTTATTTGATGACACAGATGATATACTGGAAGTTTCTAGAGGATTAGTATCTCTCAACAAAGCRGTGGTCTCTGTATAACTTTCAGGGCTCTATTCCAGCAGAGTTTGATAAAAGCTTCAGAAACAGTATGATTACAGAGGCTGAAAATCTGGACCAGTTCTTTGAACTGCTGATTCTTTTCTTGACAGTGGAAATCTTTCTTGCTGTAAATTACAAAGAAGGGCCTTTGTTTGCTTTTAGTTTTTAAGACCATAAGATTATAAAAGTAATTCCATATTTTTTTTCCCAAACATTAAATATTGTTCTTCATCTAACTTCTCGTGATGCATATGCAGAGTGTAGTACCAACCAGGGGAGAAAAAAAAAATAGTCTCCCTTTTGTTTTGGAAGATGGGAGAGAAAGTAGAATAAAAATTGCAATTCATAACTCTATTTTCAAAATGCTTTGAAGAAGCATAAACTAGATTCTTGGGAATAGATTTTTCTTTACTGTAAATTATATCTATTGAGAAGATTCTTCTCTGCCCTCAGATTTGTGATCTCTTTGTTTACTATGGAAAAACAAGTATTTTATTTCCTTAACAGTATCCGTTTTCTATGCTTTCTGGGAAAGAAATCAGAATGGTCAGTSAATAAGAAGAAATCATCATATTGAAAATAACAACATGATTTAATTGTCATTCACGGGCATTAAAATTCAGATACATTGTGAAATACAAGATAATGACAGAGTACATTGATTTTAATGTTTTCTCCAAAGAACAGAAAATAGCACAGACTTTTGTCCAGTTCTTAAGCTGCTTTTAAAGATTTATTTATTTATTTATTCAAGCACCCAGCTAGCTTATTCAAAAATTAAGAAACCTCTTGACCTTTGACATTACAAAAGGAAGTGGAGTCAGTAGCTGTAAAAATAAATAAAATTCATGTCTTTTTGTATATTTGTGCCCATTTCTCAAGTAATCATATACTTATTATTTTAAACCTGCTTCCATTAGAGCTATTTTTTTTTCATACAAACATATTTTCATCAAACTAGCCCCTTAGCTTTATCTGTTATAATAATAGATAATACTGTATATCTATATAGTGATCTAAAACTACCATGTTCCCAGGTTGGACTACTGAACTTTTCATAAGTAACAAAACCAATGGAAATTCATATCCTGAAACTCTGTTACAGGAGCATTTGATGGCAAGTAAGCAAGATCTTTGATGTGATTTTGTAGGTGTAACCAAGTGATAAATTTGTCCACTTGTGATGCCATTAAAGCTCAGGATGGCTCTAGAGACCTGATTCTGCACTGTACCATGGCCTCCTTGTGCTGCCAAGTGAGAAGACTCAGTTGACGAGGTTCCCCTAGGGCTGAGGGGTGAGAGGCCTGCTCAGCTCCAGCCCAGGGGGCCTGGTGGTGCCCATCATGGGACACCTCTCTGAATTAGAGAAAACCTGATATTGCAATGGTCCGATGGATCATGATCCATGGATCTGMCATCTCCAGCATGCTGTAAGGGTTTTGAGTGGCCAAATTTATTTTTTCTGGCAGCACCTGTGATCTAGCCGCGAGGGCATATTGGCCATCCACGAGAATGGGTCAGATGTCTACACTTTTGGCTCACTAGAGTTGTCCCTCCTGCAAGAGAAGTGTCTAGGTGAAACCCTGTGAAGTTTTCTTGAAAGGAGAATGGGAAAATCTCCTTGCATTTCCCTCTGCCATTGTGCACTAGGAAAATGGTACATTATCCTACAAATGTGGCAGATTGTAGGGAAGAGAGAGCCAGCTACGTAAAGGGCTCTTCCCACTTCATCACAAGTTGGGATATATAGGAGGGTGGCAACCACCTTGGGATAATCCTTATGGCTTTTTCCATATCACTGATTCCTTGTCTATGCACCAGAGGAGATTAGGAAATACTTTTTCCATTTTTTTTCCAAGGATTGAATGGGAAGCAATATGTATTCTTCTTGGTTGCAGTACAGTCTTGTATATCCCATTCCTTCTCAAGTACAAATATTCTCCAGTTCTCTTCCTCCTGCTGTTTTTGTTGTTGTTGTTGTTGTT